AGTTGTGGGGATCGAACCACAGCAACCTGAGCCTGACTGCTTTGTTGAAGCAGCCACTTAAAGAACTGAGCTAAGGGGCAGGCCCCCTTTTTAAAATTTTTTTTTTTCCGATCACTACATTTTAGATCATGCCGTGTGAAATGAGTTCTTAATTTTCTTTTCTTTTTATGGATTCAGCAGAGTCTACAGGGTCTTACTACACAGCTTGGACTTGTACTGATCCTCCTGTTTTCAGCCTCCCAAGTGCTGGATTACAGCACACACCACCATGCTGTCTCAATCTCAGTGTGCCCCAGAGGTGGGACCAGCACAACATGTTGGGGATTCAACCCAGTCCCTGCACCTTCCTAAGAAGGCACTTTATTCCACTGAGCTATCTAGGTGGCCCAAAACAAGAGCTTTCTATGAAGTTGAAAGTTCTCTACACCAAAATACTTTTTTTTTTTTTTAACTGAAAATGATAAAAACACCTTAGGTAAAGAAACTTTTGTAATTTTTTAAAATTTTATTTTATTTCATGTTTTTTACTTTTGTAATTCTATCTTACATGTTTTGGCATTTCTCTGGCATCTGCTAAAAGTCAAGGAAAGAACACGAGTATATTCATATTAAAAAGCAGTTAAAAAAAAAAAAGCAGTTAAGTCTTATTTCAAGCATGTGGCTGGATTTATGTTTCTTTCTAGTATGGGGGAATGAACCCAGATACTTCACACTGAGATACATCAGCTTCCACCCCCTACTCTTTTTTTTCTTGAGGCAGGATCTCACTAAATCAGTAGTCCAGGCTGGGGTACACTTGTGATCCTCCTGCCTTTACCTTTCAGAGTACAAGGATTATTAGGTGTATGCCACCATGCCTGGCCAACTTTTTAAAAAAAACATAACTGTTCTAGTTCACAGGTTGAAGTAAATGTGTCACTTTTCTTTAATCCTAGTTCCTCAGGAGGCTAAAGCAGGAAGATGACAAATTTAAGCTCAATCTGGACAATTTAGTGAGACTCCAACTAAAAAAGGATTCTTTTTTTTGGGCTGGCTCACGCTGCCTTAAGGGCGGGTCTGGTATGGCATGTGGTGCTGGGGATCGAACCCGAGTCCCTTACCCCTGACTGTTTTTTTTTTTTTTTTTTTGGTACTGGGGATTAAACTCATCCTGACTGATTTTGCTCAGGAAGACGCTTTAAACAACTGAACTAACCTGCCAGGCCCCTAAAAAAGAAAAAGAAATGGAGATACAGGTCAGTGGTAGCATCTTTGAGTTCAATCCCCAGTACTGCCAGAAAAATAGCCAATCTGTAAATTACATGGGGGCATATATGAGAATATCATTATGTTCTTTCTTGGTTGAGACAGTCTTGTTCAGTGTAGCTCTGAACGCAGAGTGATTCTGCTGCCTCAGACTCCAAGTGTTGGGATCACAGGTGTGCACTACCACACTCGGCCAAGAATACCATTATGTCCTTAAAGGTGCTCTGCCACATGAGTAAATTACAACATTCTAATTCTAGACAATCTTAGTGAAATCGCAATCCCATGGAGCCTTTTCTTTAAGACTGTAGAGGAACTGGTCCATTTGTTTCTGTAAGAATTTGTGAAATCCAAAAAGGTTGTTTTAAAATATCCTGCTGGCAACATGTAGTTATACTAATTATATTACTCAAATTCAGTATCAATCTTCAAGTACAATTGTGTAGAAATTTTTCTGTTGCTATTATTTCTTTTTAAACTGATCCTTATAGATCTGAAAACTTTAAAAAAGATATACCAATGTGTAACAGGTGATGGGATTACAACTGATATTTTTCTACTATATCCTAAGTATGCATCAGCTTTGAGACTTTACAGCTGTTTGAAATGACTCTATAGTCCTTAGAAAAACACAAGCATTAGATATGCACTTTGCTTTATGCAATAACTGACTCCCAGAAGAGTTATCTTAAACTGTACACCGTTACACACTGAGGCTAGGAAGAAGATCCTAGAGTCAGAAAACCAGAAAGGAACCACAGCTTCCCAGTGGCTCTGTCACTTCAGCTAGAGACTAGTTTCTCTCTGCCTGGCCCATTTGCAGCACAAAAGGGCATAAGGTTATGGTCGCCACCTACTCAACATCTGCTGTCCCTTCCTTTTTTTTTTTTTTCACACTCCTTCATCCTTATCACCTTCAGATTTCTGTTTTTTGAATTTTCTCCTCACTTTTCTCATCTATCATTTTCTAATCTTTAATTGCCATAATGTAACATAAACCTAGTACTTGTCCTTCAGGTAAATCAAGTTAAGATTTTATTATATAGCCCCTTCTCACATTTTTAGTTCATAAGTTTGAATTTTAAAAAATCTGGCTCTTAGCTAGGAAATCTGACTACATAAAGCAATTTCAAAAAATTAAACACAACACTAACTTTTTTTTTTTTTAAACTGTTTTCTTTTTTTGACACCAGGAATTGAGCTAAGGCCCTAGTGCTTGCCAGGCAGCAGGTGCTGCGCCACTAAGCTACATCCCTGGTCCACACAACACTAAATTTTAAAACTCAGAACTTCTATTCATCAAAGGACACTGAGTAAATGGATAACCTATAGGTCAAAAGATAAGGGCAAAACACATTCATGACTGAGGATTGGTTCAGAGAGTATATAAAGAACACATACAAACCATTAACACAAATCTGCTTTATTGGGGGGAATGTACCAGGAATTGAACTAAGAACCTCAAACTAGCCAGGTGCTTATGCCACTGAGCTAAACCTGACTCCAAAAGTCTCCGTTTTTTTTTTTTTTTTTTGAGAAAAAATCTCACTACATAGTTCAGGCTGGCCTTGAACTCACAATGACCCTCCTGCTTCAGTCTCCTGAGTACTGGGATTTTAGGTGTGCACCACCACACCAGGCTCAAATCTGCTATTAAAATAGGAAAAATGTTCAAGCACACATTTCATAGAAGAGGAAACGTGATCAATAAACATATAAGGGCCATTCAATTTCTAAATTGTTGAGATAAAAATTAAACCACAATGTGAGGCTCAAATAATAATGACCTAGGCTTGCTCCAAGGGGTTCACCATGGACATCTCTTCCCAGCTGTCATGCTGGTAGCCTGACACACTGAATGAGGCTGAACTTTTTTTTGTTTGTTTGTTTGTTTTGGTGCCGGGATGGAACTTGGGACATATACTTGCGAAGCAGGCACTTATGCTACTGAGCTATCTCCCCGGCCCCACACGACGACTTTGCACCGAGGAAAATGGTACAAATCAAGGATTGTTTTCTTCAGAGTTAGCTTATTCATGCACTACACAATGTATGCAGTAACACTTTTTGTTTAAAACAAAATAATAAACATAAAATTCAAGATAGTTGTTATGGAAAGTAAGAGGGATTCAACAGGAGAGAAACATCTGTGCAGAGGAAAATTATGAAGTGAAGATTAGTTCATGCAAGTTCAATATATTAATGAAAAATTTAAAAAGAAGATAGTCATGCATGAACAAAAAATGACAGTAATCAAAGAAAGTCATGAACTTAGGGTTATGATTCAGTCATTTCTTGTATCTGGGGGCCACTAAAAGTTTTTTCCAGGCTAGGCCTGCTGGCACACATCTGTAATCTCAGCACTTAGGAGGCTGAGGTAGGAGGATCACTGCAAGTTTGAGACCAGCCTGGCCAACAAAGTGAACTCAAGGCCAGCTTGAACTGCATGGTGAGACTCTTTAAAAAAAAAAAAACCAAAACACAAATTTTTCCAAATTAGTTGCATACGTCTTTCTACCCAGGTGAGATCTTACAACAGTTGATCTTAACGAATTTTAGATCCGTCTCTGTCTAGAGACAGAATCTAATGAACGATACTGAAGCTTCCCTTGCCCCTGAAACACGCAAGCAACACATAGTATATATTAGATTTTGCATCTACTTTCGGGGACCACTGCACACAGAGCCCTGTCTATAGGCCCCCATGCCGAGAGTTTTTGCCTAATCGGGTTTGCCAGGGAAATTGTGCAATGTACTGAAACAAAAGTAATCATTAAGAACTATCAGTACAAAAATGGAAGAAACAATAATTTTAGGGCATCATGATATATGGTGACAGTTCAAAGACTAACAATTCAGGGGGCTGGGGAGTTAGCTCAGTAGAACAGGCGCTTGCCTGGCAAGTGCAATGTCCTGAGTTCAAAAAAGAAACAAACAAAAAAAAACTTCTTTGGGGTTGGGGAGATGGCTCCGTAGAATAAGTGCTTCCCCGGCAAGCACAAGGGCCTGCATTCAACCCTCAGTTCTGCAAAAAAACAAAAACAAATAAACAAAAAGACTAACAACTCATGATAATAGCAAAGGCATTTTTCTTATTTAGCCTCAATTTTCACACTGTAAAAGAGAAGCTGAATTGGATAATTGTAAGAATTCTCTCCAGATCTAAAAGCCAGTCTGTAACCAAGTTAGGACTTGATTTTATTTGCACATGTTTGCAGTATACAATGGTTATATTCACTGTAAGAAACCAGTACATGTATATAACATATTTCAGTTTTTTTTCCCTCCACTCCTCATTTTATTTTTCCAGCATCAGATTCATTTATTTTATAAGACCATATAGTTAATTATCATATATACAGACTAATAGGCCAAATAACATATAAAACATGTAAGACAACTGTACTAAGTCAAAGTACACTTTTAGCTACATTGTCTGTGTTTTATTACATTTTCTCTCACCCTCCCCCTTTCTCCTTTCCTCCTTCCCTCCCTCTCACTTCTCTCTCTCTCTCTCTCTCTCTCTCTCTCTCTGAACCTGATTCTAACAAATTTCGTTTACAAAAGGACAAGTTCTCAATAAAAATTTCAGGCATACCCTTTTTTCGCTTAGAAAACCAGACATCTGTTTCTGTCAAAAGCTGTTTTAAAGATCCATTCCAAGAAGGCACAAGTTGAAGGAACATCCACTATGTTAAAAACAGTAAGAAGGAAATTACAAGACTTCATCATTTTATATTTCAAATTGCTTCTATCTTTAAACACAATACTTGAAAAAGTTTTAATTTCCATTTAACAAGCAACTGAAAGAAAAAAGTGGCACTATTATAAAATATGCTAACATTTAAGTTCATCACGGTATTAATCACATATAGTCAAAAAATAAAAACTGGATCTGTATAAGAAGTCAATCCATTCCTGGTACACACACAAAAAAAGTCAATCCTTGAAAAGTATGCAGTCACAAACACACCTTAGATTATTATATTAAAAGGTAAAGCTTTATAATATACCACATTAGTGACTATATACTATTTTGTATGCAATACTCCATGCCAGAAACAAAAGGCTAAAGGCAAAATTATACAGCAGGTAAAAACCATTGGAGCAGGTCTCATAAAATCTGTCCTCTGCCTCAAGCCTATTAATTTTTTTTTGGTATTTTTAGGGAAGGGTCTACAGGGTCTCACCACTAGATCGGACTCGTAGTAATTACAGATGCGCACCACCACGCCGTCTCAATTGCTGTCTTAAGGCAGATTCATATGACACTGAGCTATCTCCCCTGCCCAGTAATTCTTTATCATCCATCTTTTATTTTGTTTTTTAAATTACTCCTATTTTAAGTTTTTCATATAAGAAAAATCATGTAGTATTTAATCATCCCTGATTTTAGCATTATACCCTCAAAGTACCTCCACTTTCCTGCATATGACTTAAATTTACCCTTTGTGGCTGAATTGTATTCCATTATATATAAATATCATGTTTTTTTTACAATTCAATTATCTGTTGTTAGCCATACAGATGTTACCAAGAGTGCTGGGATTATAGGTGTGCCACCATGCCCAGTTCTGGGCAAGTACAGCATGACAACGCACACGGGGCCAGGGATCAAATTCGGGTCCTTGTGCTTGCCTGGTAGGTGCTTATGCCTTTCAGCTATGTCCCCAGCCCCAAACCTTTGCAATTTAAACAATGCTTGCTACTGAAAAAATTTTGAGAAAAAACAGATGAGCATTCCTAAGATAGAAAAGTACAAAGGCAAAGTAAAATCATCCACAAATTCTTAAATATAACATTTTTGTAAATAATTCTGCAACTTAACATGGTTTGGTCTAGGACTTTTCAACTTTGTGATTCTGTGGAAAGCTGCTCAGACAACTATATGGTTTTTACTTTCAATATGGTTCAACAAATTACATAAGATGTGACATTCTAGTAGGGTTTGTGTTAAATTATTTTGCCGAACTTTAGCTAATGTAAGTGCTCAGGCTGGTGAGGCTAAATTATCATGTTCAGGAGTTTAGGTATATTAACTGATATTTTCAACTTAAGGGTTTATTGGGATATAACCCAATCATAAGTTAAGGAGCATCTATAACTCTACCTTTTCTTACATAATAATCACCCCTTACCCCTGGACACTACTAGCTGTTTCCAGTTTTTCACTATAACGAGCAATGCCGCGGTAGTACTCCTGTGCACTTCATACGTCAATACCTTTTTTAGAGCTGTGTACACATCCATTTCCACTTGCATCACAAATAAGTTAGATGAACCAATGAGCTGTTTCATGACGTTTATGCTGGAAAAAGTAAAACAGAAGAGTGAGCCTGTTTTCTTGAATAGGCTCTCAAGAACTCTGATGACACAAGATACTTTATCAAATGAAAATGTGGAATTAAAACTGACAGCAGTTTTTTGTATAAGGCAGTGAGTCTTAGTTATTAATATGCTGGAAATTATCAATATTTTTAATTCAGAAAGTGTGGTGTGGGGCTGAGGAGATAGCTCAGTGGTCTAAGCACCTGCCTGGCAAGTGCAAAGACCCAGGTTTGTTCCCAGTGCTGCATGCTATGCTGGCCCTTAAACTGGGCTTGGTGGTGCACACCTGTAATCCCAGCACTCGGAAGGCTGAGACAGGAGGATCACTATGAGTCTGAACTGTATAGCGAGACCTTGTACCAAACAAATAAAGATTAAAAAATATTTTTAAAGAAAGTGTGGCATGAAAGGTCTGTTTTCATGCTGATAGGGAAATGATGTGCTCTGATCTACTGACCTAATTACAGCCAAGATTGCAATAATGTAACCTGCACTATGCAGCGTAAGTGGCAGCCTTCTGTGACCCACCTTGTGTACACTATGTTGAAACAAGAACAAAAAATCCTCAAAAACAAAAACAAAAGGGGGCTGGGGAGATAGCTGAATAGAATAAGCGCTTTCTTGGCAAGTGCAAGAACCTGAGTTCAATCCCTAGTTCTGCAAAAACAAACAAAAAATCCCACAAGACATGTCAAAATTCATTAAAAGTTTTATCTTTAAAGTACTAGGTGCTCAATTCAGCACATATGCTAAAGTAATCTTTCATCTCAAGTTTAAAAGGACTGATTAGTTATAAATAATAAATATTGTTTTTATTACTATTAGAGAGTAAGAATGAGAAATGTATTTTAGCTTGGTCTGGAAATACCATTAGGTTTTTTTTTCCTTAATGCCATTTTAAAAAGAGCTTCTAGTTTTTTTGTTTGGGGTGTGTGTGTGTGTCCCAATGCTGGGGATTGAATCCAGGGCTGGCCTTCACATTAATCTACACCCTCAACCCTTTAAAATTTTTGTTTTAAGGGGCCGGGGAGATGGCTCAGTGGAATAAGCACTTCCCTGGCAAGTGCAAGGGTCTGAGTTCAATCCCTGGTTCCGAAAAAAAAAAAAATTTGTTTTAAAATTTTAACTCAGGTCAACGACTTTTGTGGATAACCCACCACTATTGTGGACTGCTGGACTGTGTTGGATTGCTTTGCTGAATTCACGCACCTACAGTATTCAGATGCCAATGGAATACCTATTTCTGTCAGGACTGATCAAAAAAGGGGATACAAAGGAAAGACCATTTTGTATCTGTATACGCAGAATAGTTAGGATAGATACATAGCTACTTTCGCTTAATTCAATGAGAAGAAAGATTTGTACTAATAGTGTTTGGACAGGATAGTCTGTCTGCATCTTGTACTACAGATAACCGCTAAAAGGACAAAAATGTACAATGTATTAATTATTGAAACTGTCCTATTAATCAGTTTAGTTTTTGTTTTTTTGGTGGAACTGGGGATTGAACTCAGGCCTTGTGCTTGCCAGGGAAGCGCTTATTCCACTGAGCCATCTTTCCAGCCCCTTATCAATCAGTTCTGAAACTGTCTCATTGATACTTGTTTCTCAGTAAAATAAAATTTAAAAAAATTCGGAAAAAAAATAAAACAAAATTTGAGACAAGGTTTCATTAAGTTGCTTCAGCTGGGCTGAACTCTGGATCTCCTGGCCTCAGCCTCCCAGTAGTTAGGGTTATATATATGTAAAAGTTCTGAATTTTTTTTTTTTAAACTGGTACACATTGGTCACACCTATATTTCAAGTTTGGAAATGCATATATGCAAGCAGCAATACAAAAGTATTCATGAAGAATGCATAATCTCTGAAAATTATGAAAACATCCCTGCTACCAATACATTTCTAAATACAAAACTATTGTATTTGTTAACTTCTGTGTAGCGAGAGAAGTTCATTTCCAAAACAGATAAAATTCAGTCTTTAGGTGTGACTGGTATGAATGACTTTTTTTTTTTTTTCCTTTTTAAATTTCTTAGTTGTTTGGGATCCTTAAGCATGCACAAAGCTTTGAACAGAGGGTCTGCCGAGGAACCAGGTGTCTCCAGGCGTCCAGTTAGGCCAGAGCTGGGAAGGCCTCCGGGTCATCCACGTCCGCGGCAGAAGTACTTAACTTGGCAGTCCTGCTGCCGCGGTTCACACGCCCCCACGCCCACGTCCACCTCACCCTCCCCTACCACCCTGTCCGGGGCGGCCGAGGTCTTCAAGGTTGATCTCCAGCTGAGACGTGCTATCATTTGCGGGTTTCCGGCCGTGATGGTCCATCACGGAGTCTTCAGCGTGAGCCTCTTCACTCTGATTTATGAAGAACAAATCCCTTCTTCCACTGTCCATCAGCACCTTCATCTGGTTTCCGGATATTAAATTCTACTTTCGCCCTGTCTTTGTTTTGGATCACCTCCCACCATCCAAAGTCATCTCTTTTGGGCCTTCTTCCTTAACCTCCTCGACTTCGTTCTCTTTATTTTCAGTGTCTGCCACAGGGTGCTCTTTACCTTCAGGTGTTTCCTCAGTCACATTCACATTCAGTCAGTTAATTCGTCTTTGACAGTTCCCCAGTTGTGAGATCCGCTACCTCCTCGTTTGTCCTCGTGCTTCAGGTCACTGTAATGTGAAAAAGAAGATCTATCGCTTCCACTATGCCTGTCAAGTTCACGCTTGCCAGGACCATCAAAGCCATCTCCTCTGTTCACGCCACGGCCACGGCCACCTTGCCCTCTGCCACGGCCACCACGCCCTCCAATAGGCCAGGCAGTAATGGGTCTATCAACTGCAAATTCTCCTCCTTCACCCTTTTCTTCAGGTGGTTTTGCAAATCTTCTTTCATGTGGTGGTTGCCGTTCTGGTCTCCTATCGATTATTTTCCCTTGCCCCTGAAGTTGACGATCAGGTCTTCTTCCAACGCATCTTATTGCTTCTTCTGAAGCGCCACTGGCGGCTGTGCTGCCTCTTTCGTGTCCGCCGCGCCGGCGCTGGGCGTCAGCGGGTTCTTCCGGTCCTTCTGGGCTCCTTGCGCAGCTGTATGCCCGCCGCGGTGGAGTTGGTGTCCCTGCTGGCTTCTTTTTTCTTGTTCTCCGCTGCCTTCAGCACCTCGAAGGTGTCCGATTTGTCGTCAAATAACTTGCCGAATCGGTTGGTGACCGCGCAGCCGAAGCCTTCCTGTAGGTGCCCAGGCATGATGGTGGCTCCGCAGCACATTCCTCCACGGATTGCAGCGGGCCGCGCAGAGCCAAGAGCGCCTGCTTCAGCTCTTCCCACAAGATCGAACTTCTGAATTTTTAAGGTGACTCTCCAAGTATCAGTTTTTCCAGTGCTGGGGATTGAACCTGACTGAGGTCATCCCACTGTGCTATATCTCTAGCACCATTTTTCAATTTTGAGACTAGGACTCACTAAATTACTGAATTGTCCAGGGAAGGCTTGGACTTCCAATTATGCCTCAGCCTAAATTCCCTTTGAAAAAGCTCAATGGGAAATTATGGCCAGTATGGTGGTGCATACTTCAACGTCAGCATTCTAGAGTCTGAAGCAGGAGAATCACAGTTTTACCTCAACATGGGCAACTAAGATTAGGGGTTGTAGCTCCACGCAAAGGCTCTCACTTCAATTCCTTTTTTTTTTTTGGTACCAGTGATCGAACTTATGACATTGTGCTTGCCAGGCAGATGCTGTGCAACTGCACTACAGCCCTAGCCCCTCGGTTCAGTTCCTAAGGTTGCTGCTACCATCCCCCCCAAAAAAAAGTTATGAATGAGAAGGAACAAGTGTTACTTTCAAATCAAACATAATGCAGGGATTTGTTTATGTCTTGACATCATTAGTTGATGAATACTTCTCAAACTATTACAGTATCTCTTTTTATTTTCTTTTTTTTGCGGTACTGGGGATCAAACCCAGGACCTTGCGCTTGCCAGGCAGGCACTTATACTACTGAGCTATCTCCCCGGCCCACTAATATAGTATCTCTTAAGACAGACAAATGAAAAGAATCCAAAAATCCACAATGTAATCTAACCATCGAAACCAACAAACAAAAAAAGCCAGGTGTTGTGTTATACACATAATCCCAGCACTCTGGGGGGCTGAGGCAGGAGGACTGCTATGAGTTTAAGGCCAGCCACGGCTACATAGTCAGCAAGGCCAGCCTGAACTGCACAGCAAGACCCAGTCTCAACAAAGCAAAACAAAACAAAAACTTATAAATTGTATTTTATATTGAGAATTAAAATAAATCTGGATGTTACTGCATAATGTATTTAAACATAAAAATGCATACCTCTCTCATATCCTTCTCACTTCTCCTGCCTCAGACTCCAGAATGCTGGGATTAAGGTATGCACCACCATACTGGCCATAATTTCCCACTGAGCTTTTGCAAAGGTGAGAAGGATATGAGAAGTGAGAAACTGACATCTCAAGAAGCAATGTAAGTTAAATTTTTGGCTTTATGCATTCCCTTCAAAATGCCACATACTCCCAATGTTTGTACCCTGAAGTTTTCAAAAGTTCTTTCATTTCTACTCTGAGTTTCTCAGATCTATCTCAAAACACCTCAGTTTCATTACTCCAAAAGTTCCTTGACAGCAGAAAGCCTGTCACACTCACCTCTGTAACCTTTATAATCCTGAATAAAGTCTCTTTAAATGTTAGGCTAAGAGCCCAGCAGAAGTGAGGCAGCACTAGAAACTTAAGTCTTATGACAGCAATATTTTTCTGTAAAAACTGATTAAAACAATAGTTATATTTTACTATTTACAACAAAACACTTGTGCTGCATTTCTTCAGTTTATGGATATAGTCACAGTATCTTTTTTTTTTGTATCTTTCATTAACTGTGTACTTTTAATGTTCTACAAAAATAACATATATTTTAACAAATGAAAAATATTAACTTACAATAATTAATTACAAAGTTATTTAAAATTCAAATACCTGAGCTCTTTAAAAAGTTCAACATTCTGATGAGTCATCAAATTGTTTAGAAGCCATTCAAGGCACCTGAAATTAAAACACATAATTATTACATTACCTATTACGTAGTTTCAATTTATTAATAAAAATATGGCATTAATCTGGCTAGGACATGCTCAAAAATTTTAGCATAATAATCTGAAATTTAGTATTTTTTGTCAGTAGTTATTAAGAGGCTATTCCTTTTATATTAATAAGATAATTTCTAGAAACCATCATTCAACTTTGGGTTAAATAGTTTATAAAGGGGCTTAGATATTTCTACATTTAAAATCTAAAAATAGGTTCATTACTTAATAGATTAAAAGTTGCCAGTAGTGACAGAGATACATTGCCTATTTATACCTACTTTTTTTCATACTGGGAATTGAACCTAGAGTCTTCATGCTGAGCTGTATCCCAGCCTTTTTAAATTTTTTAAATAGAGATAGGATCTCAATAAGTGGTTGCATTGCCCAGGCTGGGCTCAGACTTGCAACTCTCTTGCCTCAGCCTCCCAGAGTTCTGGGATTACAGGTGTACATCACACCTACAAAAAACAATTGCTGAGTAATTAATTAGTCCAAAATCAAAAAGGGGCTTTTTAAATAATAAAATTACATCCCCCTATTCTATTTTCTCCTAATTCTTTTTTTCTTATAGCTATACATACTCTTAAGAAACCAAAGCAACCAAATTCCTAGAAGTGGCATGGGAAGAAAAATAAGAAAGGGTAACTCACTTTTTCTTTACAGAATCTAATCCATAGGTCCCTGCTGATGTGTAATAGCCACATACAGTTTTCACATTAATTGTTTCCTTCATTGTCTCACCACATTGTTGTATTAAACCATCCTGTAAATATAAATAAGCACTGGAAAGGCCCATTTCATTTGGGAAAAATTAGCTCTGATATGTGATTTTACATATTAAAAAGGAAAACAAGGAAGAAAGAAAACAGTGCAGCAAGTCTAGGTTTTTTTTTTTAAATAAATCCAGTAAAAATATGGGAAAAAATCCAGCAAGTATTCAACTAAATACTTATAATTGGAAAATGGACTTTTTTGTGGAGTATGAATATTACTGTTCTCTTTGCTTTCTCTTTTTCTCACCTCTGGGACTTGTGCAAATTTCTCAGGCAGCATTCTGTGATCAATTAATCAAGTGATGAGTTTCCCAAATGACATGAATTAGCACTATCAGTAGGAGAAGCCCCTGAAGCAAGTACATTAGAGTTCTGAACAACTTACTATTTTTTTCTGGTACCAGGAATCAAACTTGGGCCTTTGCGCTTGCAGGGCGCTTATGCCACTGAGCTCTATCTCCAGCCCAACAAATTAATTTTAATCTAAATTGATTCTGTAAGTTTCAAATGAACTATGTTTTGTATGAAAGAATATTCTCACTTTTCATTGGAATTTCTGAAATACATTCATCATACAAGTACATTAAGTTAGTGAATTATAAAAATAAGGCAGAAACCAGATATAGAATGTTAGGGGCCGGGGAGATGGCTCAGTGGAATAAGCGCTTCCCTGGCAAGCACAAGGGCCTGAGTTCGATCCCTGGTTCCGAAAAAAAAAAAAAAGAAAAACAGATATAGAATGTTAAAACCAAAGAACCCAAGTTAGAAAATAAAATATACCTATTTGAAATTAAATATTGAAAGGATCAAAATATTTTAAAAATCAAAATCTTAACAAGGATATTTGGCAATCTATTAATTAGTACTTAAAATAAGTCACTATATAAATGCTGATAAAAGGAAAATGCTGATTAAAATAACACACTGACTCACTTGGCTTTTGAACTTACCTGGAAGCCATTCTAGAGTCTCTCTTTTTTTTTTTTTTTTTTTTTTGGTGGTACTGGGGATTGAACTCAGGACCTTGCATTTGCCAGGGAAGCACTTATTCTACTGAGCTGTCTCCCCAGCCCCATGGAAGCCATTCTAGAGTCCTCCCATTTTCTCTTTCACATTTCCTCACTCACCAGATCCAGCAAGTTAGCCTTTTTTAATTTCTTAGGTATCTACTACTTATCCATGTTTATTTATACTACTTTACTTATTTGAAATATTAACTAAATGAGACCTCATTTGGACTACAGCAATAGTTTCTGGTCTCTAATCCTGTACTCATCTTTCTTTCAATTTATTGTGTATATGTTGATCATGAAGTTTTCTTTCTAAAACACAGGTTTGACTTTTCTGTGATTAAAATCATCTAATGCTATTTGTATATAAAGGCTAAACTCTGCAGTGTATAGAGCAGTGGCAGTGAACACACAGCATGCATGCCACAGCAGGTGTCAGTATCACCGTAAGCTCTAAGAGATCTGCCATCACTGGTATAGAGGAACTTCATGATCTGCTTTCTGCCCCCCCATATATAACACTGTTTACGTAGAACATTATCATACATATCATATTAGATAGCCCTTACTTTACCTTTGGGTTTTACAGAGACTCTCCCAGATTCAGGAAGTACATCTTAATTTACTTTTGGTTCTCTAGGCCTAGTCTGACAAACTACTTAATACATTTTTGTTAAATGAATGAATCTGTCACTCTATTAGTAGAGTAAAATACACACCTAGAGAGCACACAAAGTTATTTCATAATTAGGAAAAAGTTTACATAGTTGCATTTGATTTTTTTTTGAACTTGTGAACTAAATTAGTAATCATAAACTACCTAATAGTCAAGATCAATAATTAACAGAAATTTATAAGCGCACGTGAGTAAATATTTTCTACATTAGTCATACTAGGCTACACAGAAACAGTTTGGACTCATTGTATTCAGACATCATGATCCCCTCAGTAATAAATTAGTTTTTGTTAAGCATTTAAAATGATTTATAAAAAACAGTATTTATGCATTCCCCTTTTATTTTAAAAATTACAAAAGCTAAGCTTTATTTTTGTTTTTTGGAAGAGATACTAACAAAGATACTGCTGCTATCTTTTGTGAATAATGTGGTACTTACCAACTGCAACATACAAGCTGCTGCCAAAATAGCAGTGACTCGACTGGGCTTTATTAGGACGTCGTCACGATACAGTGACCCAAAAGCAACTTGCAGTGCTGCAAGCAACATACACAGGCAGAGTGAAATAACAATTACACAGATACGATACTGCAAAAACAATAATTGTTTTCACACATTTGTTTAAATCTGGTATGTACACAAAAGGATAAGAGAAATGTCACTACCGAAATGGTAGTAATGCTTACTGATTGATGGTGTTAACGTAAGCAAAATGTTGTAAATTTCTCTTTATTCTAACAAATCTAGGTGCACTCTTCTACCATCAAATCTTGGCAGTAGTTAGGATTAGAACTCACACACCCCTAGAAAAAGTTTTAAAAGAGAACCCCAAGTAAAGCAATCATTAAATTCAAGTATACAGACTCAAAGATACACAGAATTCTGCTGTTTGGTGCTTTGCCCCTGGGGAACGCAGTAAGGGAGCAACGGCGTATACAGCTACAGGCCTGCCTGCACCACACCCGCAGCAGCCCCCCTCCTCGGCCCTGCTCCCCCAGCCCCGGCCATGCAGCCGTCTAAGCCTGGCCATCTCCTCCACCGCCCAACAGTGCCCCTCATGTTCTGCAAAGCCTCAAGTTTTCCCTTTGTGCGGCGGACACTGCACCTCTACAATGAGGGGAGAAGAAGGACCAAGTCCTATAATTCCTCTAAGCCTCAGTAATTTAAAATAACATCAGTTGCATGGCTCATCCCTTTTTATTTAGGAAAGATTAATTTTTTAAAACATCACATAATTTTAATAAGTAATACTTTTCCTTCCTCCTATAACCACATTCTGGGCAGACATCTACAAAGATAAGTAAATAGATTGATGAAGCCCGTATGAGTAAAGAATAGGATGATGAATAGAACTAATAAACTTAGGTGTAAATAAATATAAAATTATCACTTTCAGGTGTTAAATGGAGTTTTATCCCTCCTAGCCAATGAGGTTAGACAAAAATGTTCTACCTAAATAATAAAAAGGATGGTTTTTATAATATTTCCATAAAAGGAGGTAAGTACCTTCTATATCAATATTCTGGTCAGGAATCTCCAATTCAATAATATTCATGCTGGATTCTTTCCAAGAACCACTGAACATACTAGAGAAGTAGCCTGACTTTAAAAAAAAAAAAAAAAAAAATCAATGATTATCCACTACTTTGTCTTCCAAGTTATTTTTCTTTCATTTCCAACTCTAAGAAACTATTCTATCAAAACTAATTCACCATATTATTTCAAGAGACTATGAATTGTTAAATATATATATATGAAAAGAAATTAAGACAAGTTTATTAGGTGTATCAAAATATACATTTAGTTTAGTATTGTTTTAACAAAAAATAAAGCAAATTCTATTACTATTTGAATTCTCCCATTACTATTTGAACCTGTGTTTTAATTAAACAATTTCTGAGTATACTATCTATAGGTTTTGCTTCTCAATGAAATACTAAATTCAAATTTAGATATTATGTTACGTATGTATGTATCTCTTACAAACATGCAACAACACACAAAGTGGGTACACAATGATGTATTGAGGTGGAGGGAAGAGGAACCAAAAGTCCTTATTATGCCTCAGAAAGGCTTCAGACCAGTCCCAAGTCACCACTAAAAGGATACTCCGCAAATCAATCAGGAGAAACTCTAATTTAGTTTTTCTAGTCAGAAATCACCTATAGCCAAACCACCCTGAAAGCAAACAATCTCAGGAGCTAAGCAGGGTCAGGCCTGTTTAGTATTTAGTACTTAGTTAGATAGGAGAAATATCCAGAATGGACTGGAATTTTAGGAAAGATATTAGATGATGGCTTTAGTTACTTCCTAGATAGTATCTCTTATAACTAGAGTTACAGTACTATAGAATGAATCAAATATTAACAAATCTATTAGGTGGGCATGGTGGCACACACCTGTAGTCCCAGCACACAGGAGGCCGAGGCAGGAGTCTGTACAAGTTCCATACAGATGCAATTTTTTTTCTATTTTTAACCCATGATTGGTTCCACCTATGGATATGAACCCATAGAGATGGATAGCGAACTGTACATAGAAGGCCCTAAAAACATGGGAGTAAACAAAGGCTGTATCTGTCCTTGGAAGGCTTATATTGTAGCATGTGTCTTGAACTAAAATCCTGTTTCCATGAGGGGTAAAGTGGTTGGTTTTTATTTTACTTTTTTTTGTGGCACTGGGTACAACGCAGGGGTGCTCTACCACCGAGCTACATCTTCAACTGTTTCCATTTTTTGTTCCGAGACAAGGACTTGCTCAATTGTCCAGGCTGGCCTCTAATTTGTGATACACCTGCCTCAGCCTTCCAAGTGGCTAGGGTGGTAAGCATTTGCCACTGTGCTCGGCAAGAGCTGAGTTTTAACAGACGCATTCTGACCCTTAAGTTAATAAAATTGAGAAACTTTTTCTGAGATTTAAAAGAAAGATATGGATCATATCCATAGGTTAATACCAATAATCTGATCTATTTTCTGGACTATACATATTCTTCAAGTCAAAGTAAACTGTTTAAAGAATAAAAAGATATTATGATTAAAATGAGAAAAAAATCCTTTTCAAATGTTTTTCCTGAAAAATCCTACATGATAAAGTCTTTTAAAATTTTATTTATTTATTTATGTGTGTGTGTGTGTGTGTGTGTGTGTGTGTGTGTATGTGGCCAGCTCAGCCCACCAGGGGGCATGGTTGGCTGGCATGTGGTGCTGGGGGATTGAACCGCGGTCCCTGTGCTTTGTTAAGCTTGTTCTAAGTAGGTGCTTTAGACCACTGAGCCATCCCACCAGCCTAAAGTCTTTTTTTTTTTTTGAGACCAGATCTCACTATGTAACCCAGGCTGGCCTCAAACTCACAGCCTCTTGAGTGCTGGGATTATAGGCATGTGCCACCATACCTGGTTTAGACTGTCTTAATTACATAGTTATTCTCAAACAATAGAAAAAAAACATACCCTTCACAGGACTAGAACTGTTTACTGTTTTATTCCCAGTTCTTAGAATAACGCCTAGCACATAAATGTGATGAGAATAAATGAATAAAATATTTGAACCACTAGAGCAAGAATTTTATTTTATTTTGAAAGTCTGAATCTTTTAAATGGGTAGCAAGGAAATAAATGTTCAGCACAAAGATTAAATAATAAACCAGCTGTTTTTGTCAATAGATTTGTGGTCTTTAACAGGATATTCTGGGAGAAAAGGAAAACTGTCACAAACCTTCCATTCACATTCAACTTCAACTATTAAGCAACACCTCAGATGAATTCATTCATTGTGAATAATCAGCAACAAAGAAATTTAAGTCTTAATTTTAAGGTTAAAACATTTTTCTCCCAACTTCCCTATTCCATTAATAGCACCCAAAAGAGTACCTTATTCAAGTAATGACAAAGAGGTAATTATGGGCTAGTATGACAAAAAAGTTCAAAATCTATTTTCTATCCAAACTGTTTTCACTAATAATATCTGCCTCTTTCTAATACAATAGACTTTTTATCAGATATATGCAGAAATTACTGTGAAAGGCAATGAGAAAGAACATGACTTAAGAGTTTTGAGGGGTTTTTTTTAGTAATTACTTGGTTAGTCAACAGAATAAAATACTTACTTGACATAAATATATTTTATGTAAGCTCCATTCTTCTCCTAAAGCACAAATCTTTATGTCACTATTTTCACCATTCAGAAACAATGTTTGATAAATATATTTGGATGTACTCTTTAATTTTTTCCTGTTAAAAGAAATACAAAAGTTACATATATAAAACTGAGTGTTTTTCTGATTTTGCATATTATAAATATTCTTTTTGTTCGGTTTCTACCAGAGTCAGCTTACACACTGTAAAAAGTGTAGGGATAGCTATAATCCCAGAACTTGGGAGGCTGAGGCAGAAGAATTGTTGTGAGTCTGAGACCAGTCTGGACAAAATGAGCTCAAGGCCAGCCTGAGTTACTTAGCAAGCCCTGTCTCAAAAAGACTAAATAAATAAATACGGATAGACATTCAAATTTACTCGTGCCTGGAGGATTACATGAGATCATCGTGGTTATTGCCAGGTTCTCAAATGAGAGATAAAAACATGGGAGCAACATGGGAAGATTTTATATACCTTTTATAAATTCATTTTTGAATTAATGTAATTACACATTCAATAAACTCATAAGTCAGCACGGTCGCTTTGCTTTGTTTTCTTTCTTAAAAACTAGCACTATGGAAAGTGTCAGTGTAACTATACACAATAATTACTATGTAAAATCATATTATTATGTAATCATTATATCTGCTATATATATAGCTAGAAAATAAGTAATTTTCTTCACTCAGGTAACTGTTAAAATAATTCACTTAATCTTATTTCAGTACCAAACTAAGCCAGTTAAAACTAGTTTTAGAAAAATTAACCCCCACCCCCAAGCAAATGGTTTGCAGTTTTAAAGGTTTTCAAAGCTATGCTCAAGAGAGAAGCATAGGAGGGGTCACCCAGAAGAGGGCCACTGTGGGTTCCAGACACCCCACTAAATTTTTTCCAGAGCAACATCACCTCTTATATCCATAAACCTATTGGATTTCTGCATAAGATATAATGGAAAGCAAGAATTCATTTAAAAAGTTTGGAAATCATGGAACAAGATGATTTAGTAAATAAGAAAAGGGTAGGCAGAAGCTGATCAATTTTGTAAATTTCTAACCTATTCTGACTTCCTTCTTGGTAGTTAAAAAAAACTTAAGTCTCTTTTTAGAGATGAAGTAGTAATTGTTTCTGATGGAGTCTGAAACCAGCGCATTTAATATCACTCCGCAACATGTTAAAAATAACAACACATATAATCTAGTTATGATTCAGCGTACCTATGGTCCCAGCCTCTTTGGAGATGGGGCAGGAAGATTGTTTAAGCTTAGAAGTTTGGGGCCAGCTTGGGCAACAAAGCAAGACCCTGTCTCAAAATTGAAAATAAATTAATAATAAACAGCACATACTTTGGTGCTGTACAGACCTCTGTTAGAGTCCCAGGTCCCCAAAGCTCAGTTTTCCTGGCTATAAAAGGGATATCAATAGTATTCTATTCATTCAGTTATTATGAAAAATAAATGAGACAATATAGTTTCTGGTTCTTGATAGCAAAACGAATAAATGTTTGCTTCTCACCTCTCCCCAAGTCACATTAAGGAATAAAAATATAAACAGAAATAAATGAAACAGCAAAAATGTAAGACTAGCGCCATCACCTGATGACAGAGACTTCAAGGGATACAGAAACAGAAAACACACCGGAATGAAAAAGAGCAGTGAAAAAGCCACGGCCCCAAATACAGATGCAGGTTAAGTTCATGTGCCCTTCAGCTCCTGGGGTCACAGGGAGATAAAAGGGGGAAGTGAACAGGAGGGCAGGAAACAAGGAAATTTCCTTCCTAACGGCCTGCCCCAGACGAAGCACAGACACTCAGGTAAAAGACCAAGGCTTTTCTACAAAGAAACAGAAGGAACCTACCACGAAAATCTAAGGCTTTAGTGTAGGGTTGATCCTTTAGAAAAAGGAATCCTCATTTTGGCATTTTAGGAGTCTATTCTATTACCTCCCAACACATTCACCCGAAGTAATGGTTTCCAAACTGTGTACACAACACTTGGAGAAGGTTGGCAATGTGGCTCTGTGAACACTTGCCTTGAATGTGCTGGGACTGGGATTCAATCCCTAGCAACACACACATAAACACTTGCAACACCACAGCAAACCACAGAGATATGTGGACTATTGTTTTGTTTTGCCTTTTTTGTTGTTGGTTTTAGACAAGGATTTGTTATGTAGTTCAGATTGGCCCTGAACTCACAAAGCAACCCAGGCTGGCTTCAAACACCCAGTGATCCTCCTGTCTCTGCCTCCAGAGTGCTGGGATTATAGGGTCATACCAAAATGCCTGGCACATGTGGATTATTTTAAATCTAAAAGATCTTTCACACAGTAGGGTGTGGTAGTGCATGTAGGATGCCTGTAATCTTACACACTGGGAGGCTGAGGCAGGAGGATTTCTTTGAATTTGAGGCCAGCTTAGGCTATACAGTAAATTCAAGACCAGCCTGAACTACTTAGCCAGATCTTGTCTCCAAAAAACAAAAAATCTTTCAGACAACATAATCTACTAACTTCAAATTGTTTGGACCTAACCGTGAGGTTATTTTTATCATTATTTTTATACAATGGGTATCATGAAAAAAATTTACTAGACACTAAGGGTTTGGGAATCTCTGTTCTAAAACAAAGTGCCACCCAACATAAGAAAAGGTAAGAGGGGTCACGACAGTTAGCTCAGTGGATTAAAGTGCCTGCTTAGGCAAGCTTCGGCAAGCACAGGACTGCAGCTGGACTGCCAGCACTACATGCCCGTGCTAGCACTGCTCCTAGGGTGGGCTGAGCCAGCCAGAGTCCGGGAGTGGTGGCACATGCCTGTAATCCCGGTGCTGGGGAGGCTAAGAGCAGGAGGATCACCACGAGTCCAAGCTGCGTAGTGAGACTCTGCAACAACCAAATACATTAAATAAATAAATAAATTTATATTTAGATATTATATACACAAATTGTCCCTTTTTTATTTTCATGAGAAAACATTTGAAGATGTAGTTCACTAACATAAATGAAAAAGATACAGGACAGAGAAAACAGTAGATTCAATCTTAGACATGGAATAAAAATAAATTTCAGGATAAGCACAAATCCAGATAGGAAAAGGAAGCTGGAAGACTCCTAGAGGAAGGTCCAGGATTTGGAGGAGATGTATTCTATCCAACTATCTATTTCAAAAGATAGAAAAGCCTGAAGATACAATGAAGAAATACTCTTTTGTCCACAGGGGAGAAACAAGAATCTCTAGCCAGGGATATAGCTCAGCAGCATAACCGCCTGCCTGGCAAGTGCAAAATCCTAAGTTTGATCCCTGGTACCAAAAAAAAAAAAAAAAAAAAAAAAAAAAAAAAAGAATCTCTAGACAATAAAAAGCAACACACACACAAAAAGTACCATACAAGTAAAATACAAGTGAAAATGAGCCAACCTGAAGCCCTTGG